CATTTTCTACTATGATGCCCTATCCCTTGCTCTAAGGTCACTCTCTACCATGAACACGCCTCTTATGATAGAGATTTGACTAACTATTGCGTGCTTTTGCTTCATGTCACCACCTAATCAACGAAGAACAAGGAAGGTATGATTACGTATAGTTAATTATGGGATTCTACGAACCATAACTCTAGTCTATAACATTGGTGATCTAACAACCGAACATATTCTTTAGCCATGCATAGAATGGTAGCTAATCCTCCTATACACGCCTAAAAAGGATAGCTTACTACACGAGATTTGTTTCCTTGATAAGATAGTGATATGATATTGGTGTGAGGTCTTATGTTTGACAAAACATATCAAAATAGATATCACTATGTAGATCTTATTTTATTTGGTTGAAACTATGTATATCTTAATGAATGAGTTCTTTCGTTAAATTTTTTATTTTTTTAGTTGAAATGAAGAAAGTGGGTCATCATATCACTGTCATATCACAATAATATATTTGATATGAAAGTGATAATACTATAATCGATACGTGTTTTGAAGAGTTCATTTTTTCTTTGCTTAAAATATAGCAAAGAAAAACTTTTTCATATAAATGTGTAGATCATATATATATTTTTTTTATAAAAGTGTAGATCATAATTAATGCATTCTTTCTATGGAAAAACTTTTAAATTTTGAGTTAAAATCAAATCTGTATGATCCGATTAAGAAAAATAGGGGTTTAGGAAAAGTACATTATCTCGGGTTAATGTCATATTTGGTCACCGGGATTACTAAATCGTGTCATGTTTAGTCATTAGAAAAAATTAATATAAAATTTGGTTACTCGAATTACTAAAATAGGTCATGTTTAGTCACTCTCCGTTAGTCTCCGTCTAGCTCCGTTAATGGAGTCCTTTATGTGATGACGTGGCTACAGAAGCACCTAGTCAGCGCCATTTTGTGCCGGAAATGGTCAAACTCGACTAGTCACGTCACTAAACCTACCACATCATACACCCAGAACAAAACCCGAGCCCATCACCACCACTAACACACCTACCCGCCGTCCCACCACTTCAACCACTGTCGACTGACGACCACATTGTTCCCGACCACTTCAGCACCACCGCCATCCTCCGTCAGCGACAATTCACCTCCCTCCCAAAACCCACCTGTCGACTCCTCCACTTCCCCGGACCCGGACGAGCCCTTCTTCCCAGCTCCACCTTCCCAGGATCAAACCCAAACACTGCCGGCGAGCTCCTCCGCCAATTCCACCGTTCCAATCCCCACGACCACGCAGGCCCAACCTGCTAAGCCCGTCAAGAAAGTGGCGATTGCCACTCTCGGAATGCTCTCCGCACTCGCATTCTTCTTGTACCGCAATCGGCTCAAGCACCCGCCTAGAAGAGATTCTGATAAGCTTGTTGTTGAGAATTCCCGACAATTTGCTGATCCTCCTCCGCCGCCGCCGCCTTCCAATTTTTTTGTATATAGGGACAGTTAGGTCTAGAGTTTTTGAAAGTGGGATTAGGGATTTAGGATGGGTTTTTTGTTCCAGTGATAAGGCTGTGCTGGGTTTTGCAGTGGTTCTGTGGGTCAGGTTGGGTTAATGGGTTGGGTTGGATGTATGATGTGACATGTTTAGTTAATTGGTGGGTCGGGTTTGACCATTTTCGGCCAACAACAACGCTGACTAGGTGCTTCCGTTAGCCACGTAAGCACATAACAGATTCCAGCTTTCGTTAGCCACGTAAGCACATAACATATTCCATTAACGGAGTTGGACGGAAACTAACGGAGAGTGACTAAACATGATCTGTTATCATAATTCTGGTGACCAAATTTGATATTAATTTTTTCTAGTGACTAAACATGACACGATTTAACAATCCTAGTGACGAGATGTGGCATTAACCCTACATTATCTCTCATCTGAATCCCTATCAGGACAAAAAAAAAAAAACTAGGTTTTGGAGTGGGTTTGTAGAGTTGGGTTTTATACCCTATTCATTTCCCTAAGATACCATATTTAATTGTTATGTAAGAAATAATTATCATCTTTTCATTAATAAACCAATTGAATTACATGTCAGTCGAGCGCATATTAGTTCGATCATATTGGTATCATACCAATGTTATGGATGTGCTACTTGTTTATCTCTATTATTATTCTTAATTAATCCAAATTTTTTTGTCTCTACTATATTTCATATGCCAGCATTTTCTATGTTGATTTTTTTTTTGCATATTCTGAACACGTTCCACTCATGTAATCCGGCTAAATTATCTATTTAAATCGTGCTTCAGATCAATTTTTTTATGGATCTTTTTAGTTGTCATATATTTATATCAGTAAATTATAATTAATTTCCAAAATTTTAGGATTTATCCAAAAATATGAAGTTTGAAAATGAAATCGCACAAACATTCTGATTGTCGGTGGAAATGAAATTCCATTCCCAACGAAATTGTATCCAAATGTGTAATTTCATGATTTTCTTTGGAATGCATCGGGTGGTCGTTTTTTAATTTCGTGATTTTCCTTGGGTAAGTTCTACTTTGTGCATCCTCTTTTGATGACCTCCTTCGGGAGGTGACCCTGTTATGGCGTGTTTGGAAAGTCCGTAACTGGGTGGTGTTTGATTTTAAGCAAGTGGGTAACAAGTTTTACGACGTCAGCTTGAGCCTTGAGGGATAGATTCATGAGTGATGGAGCTAGCTAGTGGCACTAAGAGAAGCTTTTCACTGATGCCTTAGCAAGGGACTTTATAGTGTGCGCTTGGTTGGTGACGCTAAAGGGGTCGTTGATAAGGTGAACGAGGGGACTGTGACTGATCCATGGGGTAGAGTTATTTACCAAGAGCTCAAATCTGTGTGCCAAGTTCATCCTGATTTTTCGGTGTATTTCGTTGGTAGATAGAACAATAGAGCAGCTCACCAAGTGGCCAAGAAGGCTCTAGCTTTGTCTTAATGAGATGTACTTAGCTTTAATTTTTGCGATCAGCTCCGTTTGAAGTTGTAAACACTCAGCCTATATTTTCTTGGTAATGCAAGCTATATTTGATTAAAACAAAATCTAAATCGGCAATTATCTTAAATTGCGACAAAAAATATGCCCACTCAAAAAAAAAAAAAGGGCAGAATTGAGAATACACCCACCCCAAACACTTGGCAAGCGTAAATATGAGAAATATAATTATTGAAACAACTCGTCTGTCGGATTTGTCTTCTATAAGTTATTCTATTGAAAGTGAATCCTTAAATTTTATTTTGCACAAACGAACCCACTTATTAGTCCTCTCATATGACAAAAAGTGAGCCACATCCACAAACAAGGACTTAATCTAGTAGTATATTGCTAGTTTTCAACTTGGAGGTTTCAGATTCGAGGGTTAAATGCATCACTTGCCACTTAAGTATAGGGTTTGTTGCAGACTAACCACCTAACTTAATTTTGTTGCAATTAAACTATATAAGTCGAATTACGGTTGCATCTAAACCATAATAATCAAATTCTGGTATCACCATCACAATTTCCGTCCAAAAACTTAACAGAAGGTACCAAACATGAATTATTGTACCACCATTTTGATTAAAACAATTCCTATATGATCATTTTGCACAAATGCCAAAATTATGTGACCAATTTTTATACTTGCCTTCACCTCTCCCCTCCGCTTCTCCATCTTCATCTGCTCACCACTACCTTCTTCTAAAATACCTACGTTTCCCTCTCTCTTGAATATCTTCTTCCTCTCCTCAGTATGTGAAGCAGATATTGAAGAAGAAGCAAGCTATAGAGCCATCCCTAAGCAAAAACTTCAACACACTTTTCGATCTATTTATGGGCAAAACATCAAAAGAACTTGGTCAAAATGTCAATTCAATCACAAGCTTATAATTTGAGCTGCTGAGACCAAAATATGACTCCTTTCTAGCAAGAACAGATAGAGCTTAGATTTGAGCTGCGAGGATCTTTGTAAATAACTCTCAAATTGGAATAGAGAGAGATGGAGAGTAAGATGTAAAACGAAGACATAAGGGAGGAATCTGTAGAGCTTCTCGTGCGTTGGTGTAGAAGGAGAGAGCTCAATGATGGAATCATAAGAAGAAAGGTTTATCAAAGAGAACATGAGAGATAGCAAGGCAGGAACCATAATCAATCTAGTCGTCTCTATCTTTATGTTTTTGGGGGCGAGGATAACAAGTTGGTTTGTGAGTGAGGTTTTGATGTCGATTGATGAGAATGCCTTGTGTGGGTTGTGTAATTTGGGGAAAATGTGAGTTGTTGGGCGGTGAGGAACAAAGCTGGAAAAGATTTGATTGAGTCTGAAAATGGGAAACAAAAAGTGACTTGATTGGCTCTGTTAGCAGAGCTGCAGAGGAGGGTGTTTCAATAAATAAAAAAAACAGAGGAGGGTGAGGCGATGCAGGGAGGAGAGGTAGGACTGTAGGAGAGATGGGGGAAGGGAAACTTATGTAAAAATGGTCATATAAGTTTGGCATTTGTGCAAAATAGTTATATAGGTTTTATTTTTTTCAAAATGATTATACAATAATTTCTGTTTGGTAAACTCTGTTAAATTTTAGACGGAAATTTTAATTTTGCAATTATAATTTGATTTATATAGTTTAGTTGCAACAATAATTCAATTTATGTGATTAAGTTGCAACAAAAATAAGTTAAGTGGTTAGTATGCAACATATGTTGTACTTAAGTGGTAGGTGATGCATTTAACCCTCAGATTCGACCTCCTTAAATAATACTCTAATTCACCGGGGAAAAAATAAAAAATCTCCATACTCAGGCTTGCATGGCAATGAGATAACTATTATGGGCTGGCATCAAACTTAATTACTTGGCCTTAAATATTACTGATTTATAAGGTAGCTAAATCCCTCATTTATAAAAAAAATAATAATAATAAATAAGGTAGCAAAATCCCAACACAGAAACCTCATTCAGCAGCAAAATTGCGGCTATAAATATTCGTCCGCATCACCTGGTAGTGGACAGGATCAACAAACAAACAAACACTTTGACATACAATTTCACAAAAAAAAACCCCACTTACGAGAACCATGAAGACTACCTCGGTTTTGTCGATCATTTTCCTCTTGCTTTCCGTCGTCGCCATTCATGGTAATTAACTAAATTATTATCACTAGAGTTTAACGTTAGTTTTCAATTCCTCTGCAGTGCTTAACCCACAAACATTTGTGTTTGTATTGTGTGTTGCACTGCATGGATATATTATTGCAGTTGCTGAAGGAGCGGATCCAATACCGATGCGAGAGACGTGCATCACGCGTTTGGAAGTATACTGCCAACCGGGTAAATGCAAGAACGATTGTAATCGGGTGTATGGGCCTCGTGTCTCCGATGGCTTTTGCTTCCATGACTCGTGTCTGTGCGCATACTTCTGCTGAGCTTAATTAGACGCAATCAATGTTTATTACAGAATAACTGCATGTAATTTCAGGGCTACCCACGCCCATGGATGGTTTGCTCAATAAATAATCTTATATCCAAAAATGAATAAGAAATAATTCAACGAGATAGATTCGGAAAATTGTAAAATTTGGCATGGATTTATTTCACCCAAAGAATGGATAATCATTAATAATAAAAAAAAAATGATAAAGGTAGATATTTCCTTAAATCCAACTCAATTAAATGGGAAAATAATAGGGTACAACGCCTAATTAACTTTCTCGCTGTTTCTCGTCTCACAAGCACATCTCCGCCAAACATCTCGAAACCGCTCTTACGATGATGATTCAAGAAAGAAGCAATTTTCATGATCCTTTAATTTGAAAGGCGCTCTCGTCAAAGAGATCACGGTAGCTGCCTATAGTAGTTCTCCACTGAAGCACAGGGACAGGGTACAACGTATTCGGATGACTGAGGCATCAAAGCCCAGTTTGAAATTAGTGTGCTCGGTAATTGGGAGTTGAGGGAGAACTGGAAAGCCGCATTTTTGGCCTTCAAATGGGGAGAAAAACGAGAGTGCGTTGATGAGACTTGAGAGAGCTTGCGAGTTGTTGGTGTGGGTTCTGGGAAATCAGCACAAGTTTGACATTGTTTGGACTTTAATATGACATTTGTATCGTGTCTCTGGTTGAGTAGGGACAGAGTTAGGATTTTGGGTTTGTGAGTCTGTATTTTTTACTACGTTATCATAAAGTGGAAGGGTTTTCTGCAGATCTCGGAGCAAATTCAAAGTGGAAGGGTTTTCTAAGGCTTGATTCCCTCGTGCTACAGGGGGGTTGGCCCAGACTTATCAAAATGCTTCAAGACTTTGTTAGAACTGTGGATACCTAGGGCTTCAGAATTATATCAATAATCAGAATTGGGAGATTGGTTTGGGACAAGAATTGATGAAGTAGAAGAATAGAAGAAGCAGAGGGTTGGGGAAAAGAGTTAGGACAGTAGAGGGAAGAGCGGTAGCTCTTGAGAGGGGAAGGGGTCGGACGTGGGAAGAGTGAGAGAGAGGAGAGTGGAGAGATTAGGTTTTTAGGGTTTTATGAAATCACTGCTTAATGAAAATAATCTCGGTTTAGAAAATATAAACCCAAACTAATATCTTTGCTACTCAAAGAATAATTCCTAACCTGAATAGTTCAGTAATGCCTAAAATCCCCAAAAGAACACCCACAATCTCAAACTTAATTAACACAACAAATAGGGCCACAATCCCTAATTAACCAAATCCCTAATAACACCCAAAAATTCTCAATGTTTCCAACATTCCACCCCCTTAAGACCAATGTTGATCTCGAGATTGGGGTGCAATTTCTCTCTTTTTGCTTTGCTCTTCTTATTCCTCTTTGTGTTAGGGATGGCAACAAAATCCGAACCCACGGGTACCCATCCGACCCAACCCGGTCAACGCGGGTAAAACCCGTGTTGACGGGTTTTGGGCCGGGTTCGGGTTTAAACCCGCTACACTATTCACCGGGTCGGGTTGGGTTTGGGTTTAGGTAAACCCGCCCCATGGGTACCCGCTCACACACGTATAATTACTTTCCCGGTATATTTAATATTCTAAATAATATATCTTCCTTAAACAACTAATATTCTTTATGTTTGTGGAGACATGTATAATTTGTTCTTTCTAATTGTTTAGAATGAAGTTGATATTATGAAGTGGAGAGTGAAGAAACTTAGTTGACGAGGAAGAAACTTTCAATTAATCTTATTGTTTATAGATGTTTATCTTTAATTTTGAACAATTTGTATTGATTATTTGCGGTTTGCTTGTCTACTCTAGATTGGTGTTTTTTGTATGATTAATTTCTATGAGAAAATTGATGTTAAACTTTTATTTTGAATGAAACTTGTTATTGTAAATTTTTTATCACAAAAACCCACGGGTACCCATGAACCCGCGGATACCCAGCGGGTTGGGTTGGGTTTGAGTTTTTCAAACCCAACGGGTTTTACCCCGGGTTTTTTTGGCGGATAAACCCATGAGTTTGGATTTGGGTTTGACAAAACCCACCCCAACCCGACCCATTGCCATCCCTACTTTGTGTGGATCGTTTAATGCAGGATGAGGATGTTAGTTCGATCATATTGGTATGTACATGCTACTTGTTTATCTCTATTTTTATTCTTAATTAATTTTTTTCTCTATTGAATTTCATATGCCAACATTTTCTCTTTTGATTTTTTTTTTCATATTTTGAACACGTTCCACTCATGTAATCCGGCTGAATTATCTATTTGAATCGTGTTTTAGATCAATTTCTTACTCATCTTTTTAATTGTCATATATTTATATCAGTAAATTATAATTAATTTCCAAAATTTTAGAGTTTGTTCAAACATGATGTTTGAAAATGAAATCCCACAAAAATCCAAATTGTCAATGAAAATGAAATTCCGTTCCCGAGGAAATTGTATCCAAATGGTTAATTTCGTGATTTTCTTTGGAATGCATCGGGTGTCTGTCATTTGATGGTGGGACTCGAGGTGTTCAATTTCGTGATTTTCTTTCGGTAAGTTCTACTTTTTGCGTACTCTTTTGATTATGTCTTGGCTTATGATAAGTGGTTACTGACCTATGAGTAATTAAATTTGGAACTTTAGATTTAATTGGATTCAGAAAATTCATATATAAGGGTTGTCAATTAAAGACATTTTATTTTTACTACTTTTCATAATCGGCTCTTATCTTCTTTGTTCTAACTCGGATTTAATTTTTTTTGCACACATGAAACGTGTTCGTTGTGCTCTACAAAATGATATCAATTTTCAATATATTTCGAGAAACTTTTTTTTGCCAACTACATACCATATATATGGTAACTTCTTCGTTTTTAAGTGGTTTGCTCAGAAGGACGAGTTCATCATGATCTATTGGATCTACAAATTTCTTGGTGAAAAAAATATTGGACAAAAAATTATCATACTTTATCACTATGGTATGTGGGTGGTAACTTGTGGTAAACAATGATGAAAGCCGTAAATGATAGTTAGTATACTCCTACTATCATGTATTCAACCTTCTTACCATATTGGTATGTTCATACCATCATGGTACAATTTCTTACCATATGGTATTAAATATGAGCATACCATATGGTAATGACTGATAAAAAATTATTCAATTTTTTTTGTACTAAAAATATATCAAAGTGGATATCATTTTAAAGAGCACATTTAATCATATTTATCTATGCAAAAAAAAAGAAAAATTAAATTTCGACTTAAAACGAGAGAGAAATCGTCCGTTAAAGATTGAGTAATTGCAAGGTTGGTCACTGAGAATACTAAAAACGTTCATGTTTGGTCACTAAAAATATTTAATTCTATTCGTTGTCACTAGGTTTAGTAAAACATTCCAAGTTTGGTCACTCTCCGTCCAACTCCGTTAATTTGAGTTGATGTGGCAGTCAACTCTCAAAATTGACCGTCAAATGTGTGATGTGGTAGTTTAAAAATAATAAAAAAAATTAAAAATTATTCTATGAATTTCCAGCTCATTTTCACTAGAATTAGGGGGAATAATTTCATAGGCTCCACTAAATACCCAAATCGTCTCCTTCGTCCATCTCTTTGGCCACTGAAATTGATAGGCATTTCCGGTGGCGGCGGTCTTCAATTGCGACGAGGACGTCTTCATGGTGGACGCGGTGCGGGCGGCGATCTTCAATTTTCAAATAGAATACTGGAATCTCACCCCGAGGAACTTGGTGTAATTTCTTCAGCTGAAAGAAACCAAAAACAGAACCAGCTAACGCTAGATTCAGATGACGCCGGGAAAAATCAGCTCTCCACCAAGCTACGATTCTGACGGCTGGGACAGAATCCGTCCCGATAAATTATCCTTCTGCTGTCGCTCTCCTCCGGTGACCTTGTGGTCACTGTTAATTGGGATCCAAAGTTTGAAACTAGCAAACCCTTGTCCGATAAAAAATAATAATAACAAACCCTTCGGTCTTCACCCTCCAGACCTCAGCAAAGCATCGTAGAACCGCCGCTTCCACCGTTTTTCTCCTATCCCGTTCTCGCTTGAAACATAATTCCGACATGGGGGAGAACAAAAGCTCCAAGTCTAGGCTACAGTTGAAGAATAGAGAGATTGTGTGTTGGGGTAAGGAAGAAAGAACAACACCGGAATCGTAAGAGAGGAATCTCTCTAAGAAATTAGGGGTTTTTTTTTCTGGTATAGAGGGGATTTTTGCAGCTAGTGGCGGTGATAGAGAATGGATGATTCCGCCTACAGTGCCGACCTTGCCTCTATTTCCTATCGTCTCTACCTACCCTACCTCCTTCTACCAGCCTCCCTTCGCTTCTTTGCTTCATCAATTAATGAGATGATTGTGAGCGGTGGCAGAATCATTGAATGAAAATGGTGGCGGTCGTGGTCGTGGCATCAGCCAAGCCATCATTGATCAACGTCGCCGTTCCATCACCAAGCCACCGTCGTCCCACTGCTCATTGTTGCTCGGTTCGCCTCGGAAGGAGAAGTGGAGAAGGATATCAGCAGAATAAAGAGAGAAGGAAATAATTTCCAGATCTGAAAATTAGATTCCCATAAGAAAGAGAAAATGACTAATAGAAGAATTAGGTTTTTATTTTTTATTCTTTAATGATATTGATAATTAGGTGGAATATTTTAAAATATTTTATTATATTTTTAACTGTCATGACAAACATTTAACGGTTAATTTTAAGAGTTGACTGCCACGTCAGCTAAAATTAACGGAGTTGAACGGAGAGTGACTGAACTTGAAATGTTTTACTTAACCTAGTGACCACGAATGAAATTAAATATTTTCAGTGACCATACATGAACGTTTTTAGCAATCTCAGTGACCAACCTTGCAATTTACCCGTTAAAGATTAAAGGGGAAAAGATAAAGGACTTTTCAGGAGAGAGAGATATTGATGTCACGCTGATAAGGACGGGTTACTCATGGTTACTGACCATAAGGTTACTGACCTGATCCGTTCCCCTGTTATGGCGTGTTTGGAAGGCCCATAAATGGGTGGTGTTTGATTTCAAGCAAGTGGGTAGCAGGTTTTACGACGTCCGCTCGAGGGACATATTCAAGAGGGATTCGGGATTTCTCTTACACTATGTTTGGGAAGGGGTGCAAATGGAAGGGGGTGCAAGTTTGGAGGGGTAAACACAAGTTCCAAGGTGTTTACCCCCGTTTGGTTATTTTGTAACAGTAGGGGGGTGCAAAACGTGAGCGTAAATTCACTGTTTCGGCTTACCCCCCAAATTGGGGTGCAAGGAAAGGAAGGAAGGGAGGGGGAAGGAGGAGGAGGGAAATTATGAATTTTTAATTAGATTATAATTACATAATAATTAATATTATTAATTTTTTCTTATATCTATATTAGTGTAGAAGTTGTTTGGGGTTGACCGTTTGACTAAGAGAGCAAGTTTGTCAATGTTCGCCTCGTCAAATCGATATCTCTTAGTTGACCCGAATTTGCATTGAAAATTAGAGATAAGAAGCATTTGTTGAAAAGATAGAGAGGAACAGTTTAGTTAACTCGATTTACTTTAATAAGTAGTTAAAACTTACATATTCGAACGTGTTTGACTAAGTTTGACCATATTCAATTTAAAGTTAGGCACGAGAACCCCCTTAGGATGACTAGTTACGAGTTGGATTTCGAGTTTCGAGGTTGCTCGACCAATGATTATTATTGTTGTTATAAATAATTATATTTGAGCATTATTATATAATAATTATTTTTATTAAAATTATTTTTATTTATTATTTTTATTATTATATATTGAATTTTCATGTTATTATTTTGTGATAATATTTTATAAATTGATAAATCTATTTTATAATAATATAATTACTTACTTTTTACTCTATTTGCACCCCCCTACTTTTTCATCCAAACAACAATTTACCCCTCCACTTACACCCTCCACCAAGTTGCACCCCCCAACAATTTACCCCTCAACTTGTACCCCCCTCGAACTTGCACCCCCCTTGTTGCCAAACATAGTGTTAGGTATGCTAGGGAGGATACGAGCGAGGGGTGGGTTTCTCGTGCGGGTAGGGAGATTTCGCATAGACGGTGCTCACGACCCAACAGTGGTGGAGCTAGTGGCGCTAAGAGAAGCTTTTCATTGGTGCATTAGCAAGGGACTCTATGGTGAGCGCTTGGTTGGTGACGCTAAAGAGGTCGTTGATAAGATGAAGCGGGGAGTGTGACTGATGCAAGGAGTAGAGTCATTTACCAAGAGCTCAAATTTGTGGGCAAAGCTCATCCTAATTTTTCGGTGCATTTCGTTGGTAGATAGAACAATAGAGCAGCTCATTAGGTGGCTAAGAAGGCTCTAGCTTTGTCTTCATGAATGTACTTAGTTTTAATTTTTATTATTAACTCTGTTTGGATTGGAGTTGTAAACATTCCACCTATATTTTCTTGGTGATGCAAGGTATCATTGATTAAAAAACATATCTATATGGGCAATTATCTTAAATTGCGACAAAAAAATTCCCACTCCAAAAAACTTGGGCAGAATTGAGAATACACCCACTCGAAACACTTGGCAAGCATAAATACGAGAAATCTAATTATTGAAACTACTCGTTTGTTGGATTTGTCTTTCTATTATGGGTTAATACCTTATTTTGGCTTGAATTATGACTATATAATCAAATTTGGCCCGTGGTTTCAGAAATTAACATCCCGGCTTCAACTATGTAACATATAGACTCAATTGGCCCGACACAGAGTTTGACCATCAATTTGGATAGTCAACACCATTGACAGTTAGTCAACACGCCATGTCATTGCCTCGTCATTCTAAAATTCATTAAAAAAATTCTAATTCTAATTATTTTTTCCAATTTTTATTATTTATCAACAAATTAACCAACAATTAATTATAAAAAATATAAATAAATTTAATTTTTTATTTTTTGGGTAATTTGAAAATGATAATTTTTATAAATTAAACAAAACTTATCAAATTATTTTATATTTTTTAAATTATCCAAAAAATAAAATATATAATTTATATCATATTTTCTAAAATTTTTAATTTAATTCAATAATTTTTGGTTATATTATCAAATTTATCATTTTCAAATATCCAAAAATAATTTATTTTATATTTTAAATATTTTTTTGATTAATTTGGAAATGATAAATAATAGAAATTAGGAAAATCATTTGAATTTGAATTTTTTTAATGATTTTAGGATGACAAGGCAATGACATGGCGTGTTGACTAACGGTCAACGGTGTTGACCGTCAAAATTGACTGTCCAAGCATGTGTCGGGCCAATTGAGTCTATATGCTGCATAGTTGAGGCCAGGATGTTAATTTCTGAAACCACATGCTAAAGTTGATTATATGATCATAGTCGGGCCAAAATAAGGTATTAACCCTTCTATTATATAGGTTATTCTATTGAAAGTAAATCCATAGGTTTTGCTCAAACGAATCCACTTATTAGTTCTCTCTTATAAGAATAAGGTATAACAAGGCCTTTTCTAGTGATAATACCGCTAGTTTTCAACCTGAAGATTTCATGTTCGACTGTGTTAAGTAATAACTTAAATCATGAAAAAATAAATCTATATTACCCGTATAAAAATAAATAAAAAGTCACCACACTCAAGCCAATGAGATAACTATCATGGGCTGGCATCAAACTTAATTACTTGGCCATAAATATTATTGTTTATAAGGTAGCAAAATCCCAATACAGAAACCTCATTGAGCAGCAAAATTGCGGCTATAAATATTCATTCGCATCACCTGGCAGTGAACAAGATCAACAAACTAACACTGGATGCACAATTTCGCTCAGAAACCACTTACGAGAACCATGAAGACTACTTGGGTTTTGTCAATCATTCTCCTCTTGATCTCCGTCGTTGCCATTCATGGTAATTTTTATCACTAAAACTAACATTAGTTTTCTCTTCCTCTGCAGCGCGTAACCCAAAAATTTGTGTTTGTTGTATTGTGTGTTGCGTTGCATGGATATATTATTGCAGTTGCCGAAGGGGTGGATCCAATACCGATTCGAAAGACGTGCGTCACGCTTTTGGAAGAAGAGTGCCAGCCGAGCAAATGCAATGACGATTGTAATCTGGCGTATGGGCCTAATGGCACCGATGGCTTTTGCTGGCATGACTTGTGTCTGTGCAAATACTTCTGCTGATCAGCTTCATTACACACAATAAGCAAGGAGGGCCATTATTGGGCACACAAAATAATTATTACAAAATAAAACATGTAATCTCAGGGCTACGCACAGACAAAAAAAAAAAAAAAAAATCAACGAGATAGATTCGGAAAATTATAAAATTTGGTATGGATTTATTCACAAAAAATGAATATCACAGAATTGATGAAAAAGAGAATTTTGATTATCGAACCCGAGCGTCTGCCGGTAAAAAAGAATTGAAAATAGATTATGTATCACATGATAAATATTTTATTAGTTCATAAGAACAAACAAAAAATGAATCAAAGATACAAAGAAAATGTTTTTGTTAATAAGAGAAATTTCCCGAATCTATTGAACGGGATCAAAGTAGAATTGGAAATATAGAAAAAAAAATATTATGATTTACTTGTTCCTGAAAATATTTTATCCCCTAAACGTCGGCGGGAATTGAGAATTCTAATTTCTTTGAATTCAAAATAAAAAAAATAATGCTATTCATAAAAATATAGGAATTTTAAAATCTATTCTTTTCCATTCCATATTCCAGAGGAAGTAAAGCTTAGTCGAAGATTAATTAATATGTATATCAAATAAAAATGAACTGACATTATTTTATTTATTATTACTGATAAAAAAAATATCTCACACAAAAAAGAAAAAACAAGAAATTAAATTAAGATTTTTAAATAACTAGATTGATTTTCCATCAAAATTAAAAATATTGTTAAAATTATCGTAGAAAAAGGATATCGCTAGAACACACCAATTATAAGTTAGTTAACTTAATTTCAAACTCATGAAACCAAATATAAAGTTAAGGAACTAAATTAACTTCTTAGTGAGACTATAAAAAAATAATTGAAAATAAAAATATGTTAAAAACTGGATAAAAGATTAAGGAAGAAATGGTAATTTTTTTTTTATTTCCCGTTGAATTGTAAAATTTCTAGAAAAAAGTAAAACCAATACATTAATGGGGATTGAATCACTAAGATGTAGAAAACACTTGCCGCTCCACTAAGCCAAGTAACCTACTTTTTTTCACCATTGCACACGGGAATGGATCAGGTTAGTAATCTTATGGTGAGCAATTATCAGTAATCCGTCCACTTCAGCATCCATCTCTCTTCTGGAAAATCATTAATTTTTCCCTTTTTAATCTTTGACTGACGATTTCTCACTCTTTTTAAGTCAATTTTTTTTTAGCACAGTTAGATCAGATTATTTATCATTACGGGGTGGTATCTTGTGGTACACAATGTTAAAAGTCGTAAATGACAGTTAATATACTTCTACTATCAGTACCAGTCAATACCATATGGTATAGACTGGTAAAATATGACTCAATTTTTTTTGTTTGAAAAATATACGAAAGTAGATATCATTTTGAAGAGAACAATTAATCTAATCTAACTGTGCAAAAAAAAAAAAAAATTTTGAATTAAAATGAGTGAGAACTCGTCCGTCAAAGATTAAGGAGAGGAAAATTAAAGGCTTTCAAGGAGATGAAATACTAAATTTCGACCAACTACCACTAATAGCCAAAGATTGTGAAACCGTACCGAAAGTCATAACAAAAAAGTCAATGATAGGGTATTTTGTACTAAAATCGTGGCTTAACCATAGCTCATTCGTTTAGTGGTGTACAGAGATGAACTTTTCAAGTTTTTTTTTTGTTGAATCAATTGCTTTTATTCCAATAAAAAACCGATACAACGAGTCGAGATTACAATCTCGAGAATCACTGACTATCCCCCACTCCTATCTGAGAGTATGTATACTATAAGAACAAAAATTAAAAGATGTCTATAAGTATCCCAATCCAGCCAATGCATCTCGAACCCCTCTGTTTCCACATGAAATAAACAAGTCCATTCTGATTAACTCAGCAACCTACTCAAGGGTGTGACATAGTCACTCCACACCTTTCCTTCCAAATAAACGTCATCAGCATACACCAAATAGGAGCGTACCACTCTCCTGCTCGAGGATTACTAGCAGTGATCATTGAAAGCACCATGGCATCTCAGTCGTTGTGCAGCAGCAGGTTGCACTTCATTGTAGCAGCTAGATGACGCGAAAACGAGCACTGAACAAAAAGATTGTCTCTATTCTCCACAGCCGTACCACAGAGTGGGCATGATGCATCCCTGATTTTACCCCATTTCAACAGTTTGTCCCTTGTAACGATGGCCTTCTTCATTATAAGCCAAACAATCAAGTCGTATCGAGGTGGACAGTTCCTGCCCCAGACAGGCTTGTACCACGAGACTTTAGGAGCCCTACTCCTCAAAGTTTCCCAAACTCGATGAGCCGAGTAAACATCCATCTCCTTGGAATCCCAATAAACAGTGCCATTGTGCTTTTGCATCCATGGGAAAATCACAGCCCTCAGTTTGAGAAGCCTTCTCCAAGCCCATGAGCTACTATACTCCACTCTCAAGGACCAAAGATTGCATTGTCGACACTTATACTCATACATCCACGCAACCCATAATGTCGCTGAGTTCATTAAGAATAACCAGAGCATTCTGATGGTGCACGCCTGATTCTAAGCAACCAAATCCTTCACCCTAGTCCCCCCTCCTGTTTAGGAAGAGCTACATACTCCCAGACCACTTTTGCTTTTCCTTCATCAATACCATGCCATAAGAATTGAGAACATACCTTTTGAATTCTTTTAAGAGCTTACTTAGGCAGAATAAAAAGATGCATCCAATATTGAACCACTCCCAAGAGCACATAATTCAGCAATTGCGACCTCCCTGCATAGGTGAGCTTCTTTGCATGCCACGACCTGATCCTTTTGGTAAATTTTTCAACCAGTATATCAATTTCAGTTGATGATAATTTGCCAGCCAGTAAAGGTAAACCCAAATACCAAACTGGCAAATTCCCTACCTGGAATCCAGTAAGAGCCAGAGCATTTCTCTTGTAAAGAACAGACTCACCTCCAAAGTAGATATCACACTTGGCCGGATTGATTTTAAGTCCCGAGATCTGATAGAATTGATGCAAAATTGCTTTGACCTGCAGTATTGCCTGAGCAGACCCCTTGGTAAATATGAGAAGATCGTTCGCAAAGCACAAGTGGTTTAAAGCAACTTTCTTGCATTGAGGATGGAAAGGTAAGACCCCTGACTGACTAGCTTCCTTCACCATAGTAGACAATCCTTCCATAGCTATGGTAAATAGATACGGTGACAAAGGGTCACCCTGACGGACACCTTTCCTAGCACAAAAGAAACCACAAAGGCTGCCATTGACGTTGATACTATAATGGGCAGTTTGCAAACAACTTCTAATCCACATAAAAAATGTTTCAAGGAAACCCATAACACTCATCATGAAGAAAAGATACCTCCAGTTGACAGAATCAAACGCCTTCATTATATCTATTTTAATGGCACATCGAGATGAAAGACGCTTTCTGTTATAATCACTCACCAATTCCCGAGCCAGAAGGATATTATTCATGATACTCCTCCCTGAAAGCAGACTGAGAGTTACTGATAATCAAAGGCATTATCCCCTTAATTCTGTTAGCCAGAACCTTAGCTATTATTTTGTATAAGAGGTTTATACAAGAAATAGGTCTAAATTTCTTTAAAGTATAAGCATTTGGAACTTTCAAGAGTAAGGAACTAGCAGTAGAGTTAACTCCACTTGGGAGATTAACTCAATTGAAGAAAAAGATAATCCCCTTGGTCACATCCTCACCAATAATCGCCCAAGTCATCTTGAAAAAGCCTACTGAAAATCCATCGTGGCCTGGAGTCTTTTGAGAGTTCAACTGTGACTGCCTAAATCAAAGCCTCACACTCAGCCTGGGGGATTTGTTTATGGACAAGCCGTTTCCCCTCCTCCTCACCAGTGTTGATTTCCAAGTTAGCCTCTCCCAAAAGTTTCTTATAGAAACCAATCTGTTCAGTCTGACAAAACCTCCTCTCCTGCTCCTTCACCAACTTCCTGATTGCTCATTTTGAATTGCGTATCTTCACTGCTTGGTGAAAGAAGTTTGAACTCCTGTCCCCAACTGCTAACCATGACAGTCTAGATTTCTGCCAGCAAAAACTCTCATAGGCCTTTGATATTTGCTCATATCGATCTTTAGCCCGGGCTACAGCTTCAAAATGCTCTGATGTAGGGTTCGAAAAAGCTCTAGTATTAGCACAGTGCAAAGCAGCATCTGCCTCTTTTACTTGATCTTGAAGATTCCCATACACCTCTTTATTAAACTTCTTTAGAGCCTTTTTTAACTTCACGCAACTTCCCCTGAATAATATGCAATGGGTTCACTGAGACCTCTACCTTCCAAGCACACTCAACAATTTCGAGGAACAGTGGATGCTCAGCCCAAAACTCAAAATATTTAAAAGGCTTAGGCATAGATTTAATCGGAGCCATTGTACTTACTTGCACCCCACAGTGATCAGAGAAATTTGCATGAAGCACTTCCATAGAACAGTCCTTAAACTTTTGAATCCAATCCAGATTAACCAATGCTCTGTCTAGTTTCCTTGCAATAGGCCGATTAACCTGCATGTTGGTCCAGTAAACTGAGGGCCAGTAGTCCTGTAGTCCAGCAATTCCATCTCTCCAATCCAGGCATTGAAATCATCCATACTAGCAGTTGAACTCCTCTGATTTGATGTTTCCTCTGGCACACGAACCGTGTTAAAATCCCCACCTACAATCCATGGATGACCAGCAAACTTTAACTAGCTATCTCTTTATAACTAGCTTGGCGTTCTGCTTCATCATTAGAAGCATAAACAACAATCAGGAAAAACTATCTTTATTAACATCCTCCACCAAGCAATGAAGAAAATTCCTACCCGACTTTAGCACCTGAATCTTTATCTCGGGATCCCAAAACAACCAAACTCGTCCTAAATTGGAATCAACACACTCTATATATCTCTCCCAACCAGCAAACACCTTTTCAACAGCCTCTTTAGCTTTCTCTGCCTTTATACGAGTTTCAAGAACATCTACTACATCTACCTTATTTCTACGAAGGACTTGCATCAAGTCCCTTTGCTTGGAGGTTTTATTAAACCCCCTCACATTCCAAAATAGTATTATCATCTAGAAGTTGAGGGTTTCCCCTCTCCTCCCTTCCACTGATCCTTCCTGGTATCTTTTTTATTTGGAGCTTCCAGAGCCCTGCTAGCCTCTGTATCACCAGCTTACTTAACACACTAAATGAAGAAGATGCTTGGATAGAGCCCTTAGCACTGTCTTGAGATAGCCAGACCCGAGGCCTAGCTCCATTAACCACTCTTTGAAGTTCATCCTCTGATGCTAACTTAGGTGAAGGAGATCCAGCCACCGCCAAGAATGATTTCTCCAAGTTCTGAGGAGCTAACCCCCCTCCATCTAGCAATGAGGGACCAGTAAAAATGGCCTGCAATTGAGGATCATCCGCACACACCAACACTTCTTTACCTTTGTCACTTTCAACTGGTTTAGTCACTATAGCATTCTGAATTACCATTGCTTCCATAGCTGCTGCTTGAACTGGAGAAGAAGAAACATCCTGAACCTTATGTGCCTTAGGCACCCACTGTTTCCCTTGATGAGCTGCACACGAACCAGAAATCCCAAATAGTTTGCATACAGAACATACTGGAGGCAAGTTACAATAAGTGACCCTATATGAATGGAAGAATCATCATCAGGCCAGAGTAAAACGTGATCAAGACATTCACTCTCTATAGTAAGTTCCACCAAAACTTTAGCAAATCCATGTCGATCCCCCATTCGAGTAGTATGATCAACTCCTAAAGGAACACCCACCCAACTAGCAATTCTGCTCAGCCCCTGGAAATCATTGTACTCAAGTGGAACATTCGACAGATGAACCCAAATTGGTAGAGCTTTCCTACCTAAATCCTCAAAATTGATACCTGGAACCCAAGGTCTAAGATAAAGCAAGTTGTTAAACCAGAACCAAGGACCATTCTCCATGATCCACTCACAAACCTGCTGATTAGGCAACTGAATCAGTAACATCTTGTCATAAAGTAATGAAACGCTAACCAATCCATCCCTTCCCCAAAGCTTGTTTACACAGCAACGCAAGACGTAAAGAGGAGACGGATCTTGGAGAAATTGCCCAACAAGACTATTCTTCCATCGTGCCACTCCTGCTTCCCGAATTGCTTTTGGCATTCGCAGACCACCATTGAGGACCTCTGGGGGAATATATGTGAGACGGTTGGCTTCTGAGATACCGAACAGCGACACCCAGGGTTTCGTCGGAATCCCCCTAACATCACCCTTCGGCACCTCCGAAGCTTGAGAAGACACCGCAATACTCTCTACACTCATGAGAAAAGAACAAGAGGAAAAAGGGAGCTGCTCTGGCACAGATGCCGGAGCCGGCCACAAGCAATTCTGATTGGAAACCTCGCGCACCAGGATCACTCGCTCACTCTCTCACTACTTCCTCTCACTTCAACTTTTCAAGTTTTAAGTCTACATAATAAGAGCAAGAATGAAACTGAATTATTAGACATGGACTTTTCCCTATGCTTTACGCGAAGTCTTTTCTAGAATAGCCAAAGGAAGTATTCGTTGTAATATTCAATATTATTTTCCCCCTTTTCCATCCATAATTTTTGTTGCAAAATAAAACTTACGATTTTTATTTTTAATATATTGATACAAATTCGTCACATACTACCGGTGGCGGACTCAGAAATTTAATTAAGGGTATTCAACGATAGATCAAAATTTCAAGGGTTGTCAAATAGTCTCAAATTCAAATACGTCCATGACAGAAGTAAAATTATAAACAAATATTTTTTCCAAAATCTTAATTTAAGGGTTTTCAATTGACTACCCATCCATGAACTTGGGTCCGCCTCTGCATACTACAGTCCACTTGCTATCCAAATAATATATTTTGACAATCTATTGCCATTCTGTTATAGAAGTTATGTACTTCCTCACAATCTATCAATTACAAAATTTCACTTTACTACACAAGACAACGCCACAGTTCTAGAAATGCCAATATTAAATATTAGAAAAACCTGCTAATTAAAAAACAAAGGAAGGGACACATTATAACACCATAGAACAATCCATGCGGGATAGCTTCCATACATTCATTCTTTATCGCCTCTGGAAATGGAAGTACTTGATGGAGAAGGCAAAGATGAAAGCAAAGAGAGTTGCAAATCCGACAACCACAACTGCAACCACTCCCAAGAAATCGTTTCTGAACCCAAAGTAACTCCTCAAGAAATCTGTGACTCTCTCGTCGGTATCAAGTAGTGTGGTTTCAACATCTCCAAACTGGGATCCCACCAACCCGTATAATGTCCATGCTACTGGAGATGCCCAGGCATACCACCTCCACCACATTGGAATGCGCTGTTGGATTGTATAAAAAGGGGGGAGGGGTATGGTTTAACAAGTGAAATCTATATAAAAAAATATTTGAACATTGATGGGAAAGGGAAGCAAACTTAACTGGACGTGGCACGACAAATCCTGAGAAGAGATTCCAAAGAGAGTAAAATGCTGAGGAAATGATGGATGCAATGTGGTGGTTTGGCGTCACAGCTACAGCCATCATGCCATAGTATGTGAAATAGAGCAATGTGAAGTAGATAAAGAATATATACCAACAAAACTTGGTTGTAGTCCATTCGAAGCCAATCATTGAGTATACTAGGAGGCCATAAACAAGAGCTTGAGAGAACACATAAGGTATCTCTATCACAACCTGAATCCAATTGAAGAAAAGAATCCAGGATTATTCTATGGATGAAGTACTTAAGCAGCGATGAATGAGAACTTCATGGTACACTTAACCTGTGCATAGGCGTAAGGTAAGGGTGAATACATTCCCGCGGATCTCTCTCTGTAAAACACACTTCTTTCAATGGCCACCACTGGTTGTACAGAGGATGCATTCTGGACCCCAAGAAAGATAACGGCCGCATACATCGAACCCATTGCATTGAAGAGATCTTGTCTCTTTGATCTACCACCAAGAAAGTAGAAACCAACGCAAAATATGAAATCTTTGGATAGGAAAACTCATCTTTTAGCCTATTGAAACAATGAATAATATTTGTATTATAAAACTTACCTTTTGGAGCCAAGGTCCCAGAACATTGTCCCGAACATCAATGCTATGGCGACGGTGAACAAAAACCTCACAGCAGTATATTGCGGGTTTCGCCAATAGGATAAGTACTGCTTCCAGAAACAAGCAATACACTGAGTGAAGAATGGTAATGAGTATTTTGAGGGAAAGTACAAGTCCTTTGTATCCGGGGCTGGTGTGCTTAGTTCTGCAATAAGTGCTTTGTTTCTCCTTGGAAAACAAAAGAAAAAGAGAAACAACATGCTGAGTGTTTAAGGCAAAAAGTTTGATTCTCAATGTTTCAAGAAGAAAAAGATTTATCATGTTAAAGATTACCTATAGAGGCCTGAGTTCTTGTATATGGCAGCGAAGTCTATTCCAAGTGTCATTTCTTGTGCTGAGCTTGTGACTTCCAACATCCAGTTTGCAGGGTTTGTGCCATCGATGATTCCTGGAACTCCTTCTATAGCCTGGACATAGTGAAAAACTAGGCATGTAAGACAATGATTATACGAATAATATTGAAGCTTTTTTTTATTATTATGCCATGCAAATCCTTTATTTTACCTGAAAGTAATTAATTAGATGGTTGGAATGATGACCTAGTGACCCAACATACAACTCTTGACCTCCTCTCTTTAGCAGAAAGAGCTGCATTGTCAGACAAGCTAGTAATTTCAGACCGACTTGCTTAGAAACTATAAATGAAGATAGTTGTAACTAACTAAATATTCTTTCTTACCTCATCAAAAGCTTCAAATATGTCGATGCTGGGCTGATGGATGGTGCACACGACTGTCCTCCCAGTGTCCACAGTGTTTCTGACGGTTCTCATAACTATAGCAGCAGCTCTTGCATCTAATCCCGAAGTTGGCTCATCCATGAAGATAATAGAAGGATTTGCCACTAATTCAACTGCTATAGTTAGTCTCTTGCGTTGCTCGGTAGAAAGACCATTCACTCCATGTAATCCAACCAATGCTTGCCTAAGAGGCTTCAGTTCAACAAGGTCCATCACCTCCTCAACAAACATCTGCACGCAAAAATGGATGTTAGAAAAGATAGTTTAATCGTGCCTCTTATGACATTTCAAAAGGATCTATGTGAGTATATTTCACTAGAATTTTACTGATTGTAGTTACTTACCTTTCTAGTTTCACCCTTCACTTCTGCAGGCAATCTTAACCAAGCTGAGTAGAGTAATGACTCATAAACTGTAACATGTGGAGAATGTATATCATTTTGTTCACAATAGCCAGAAATTCTAGCAAAAGTTCCTTGCTTCTTAGGATAACCAGATACTGTAATGTTCCCTTCTATGTATCCTCCAGTTTTCCTACCAGCCAAGACATCCATTAGAGTGGTCTTACCAGCACCACTGACACCCATTAGCGCTGTTAAAACACCTGGTCTAAAAGCACCACTCACACCCTTTAGAAGCTCCAATTTTTCATCAACAACACCTTGCATTTTCATTTCCTTCATAATACAAAGAAAATAAGTTTCATTCTTAGTGTCAAGTTGGTTACACAATGGTAAAATCTGAAAGAAACATATTTTCTCAAAGTCTTAGAACTTGTCTTACCTGTGGCATGTTCACAGAATACTTGATATCATCAAACGTGAGGCAGTATGGCTCAAATGGAAGAACCATTCCTTTTCTTGTAGGTGAAGTCCCAACTCTTGCTTTTCCACCTTCAATGTTGGACAACTCAACAATTCCTCCAGGTTTATCTGCTCCATCATTTTGAAAATCCTCTAACACTATAGTTTGAGATTTCTTGAAGGCTATCAAGATCATGAAATGAATTAGAAAGTGTCGGTTCCAATGCAATAAATTAAGACCTTAGAATTGATGAAGTTACTCACGGCTAAGGAAAGTGAGAGCTAGAGTGAAGAACATGTTGAATATTAGTACAAATCCAACTAGAGCTCCTGCTCCTATCCAATACCAATATGAATGTGGGAAAAACCCACGAGACTTTAAAACTTGAACTCCTAATGATTCTGTCGAGTTAGGGAGAACCTGTAACAACCAAAATCATATGTTCATTAGCTTGATTTCTCAAAATAGCAAAAAATTGGAGAGACTCCAAGAGGTAACATTACCTTGCTCCAGCTCCTTCCAAGGAACTCATTAGCAACTATTGCATTTTGTCCATACATCATTGGTGAGATCCAATAACCCCAAATCCACCATTTCTTTATGTTCTCTACCATAATTATGCAAAAGGAAACAATTAGCAGAATCACCATATGTTTTGCTGAAAATAGTGAAATTCCCAGCAAAGATGAGCACAGAAGAAGGCACCTCTTGACAAGACAAAGCCACCAGATGCAAAGAGTGAAAGCAATGCAAATGATCCAAATGTATTAGCAACAATCATTGTCCTTCCTGATGCAGCAATAAACCGGAACAATGCTGAAGCCATTTGACTAACAAGACATAGCAAAAGATATTGCTTGAATAACCTGCAGAGAGCTTTTATCAGATTTCTTAGTTGTGAAAAGAATTTAGTAAAACCCATTACATTTATTCAAACGATTTTGCAAAATGCAGTTCTGACCTTCCTGCATTAGGATCATATCCGATGACATAATATGTAAGGAACACCCATGCGCCAGCTTCGATTAATGTGATGGGAAATTTAAGGAACCATGGGGGAAGAGAAAATGCCCATCCAGGATAAAATAAGAAGTCCCTTTGCTTGTAAAACACATGAAGCTTTGCAATGGTCATGGAAATCTCAGCCATGCTATTGAACAGGAAAGCATTCACCGTGTAGAATAAAGCCCCAAGATAAATTCCACCATCAGTTATTGAATCTCGATGCATCTCAGTGCGAAGAAAAAGTGTCATGGCCACAATTGCCATGGTTATAAGCTTGAGAGGAGGGGGAAAAAAAATTAGAATCAAATATTTTCTACAAGAAGAGCAATAGTGTATCTATTATCCACTTACTTGTGAGAGCTTAAAGATGTAAACAAATGAGTTCCTCTTCATAAGCAACAGCTCCCTTGAAAAACAAGATTTGAAGAGCTCCATTTTCCCAACACCATATCTCTTAGTTGTTAAAGCCGCAGGGTGACTGTTTTTCTTGTCAAATGGAGTCAAAAGCTCTTGTCCTAGACTCCTTCCCACATGGAATGATTGAAATGCCTCTGCAAATTCTATTGTCGTCACAAACCTGTATGGGGTTTCTTTATTCATCCAATATTGTTGTTGATCTTTCCTTGATGTCACCTGTGATTTAATTGCATTCATTTTCATGAACAAATAATATAGTGTGACCCTTCCTTCCTTTAAGATCAAAGTTTATGTTCTTAATCAGCTAGCTTACTTCTTGGAGGAAGTCAGCAGAACCTTTCCTTGGAGGACACTTGAATCCCATATGCTCAAAGAACTCGAGCACGGATTCCCTAGGCCCATGATATACAACATGGCCATCCGATAGTAGAATAACATTGTCAAATAGATCATAAGTTTCTGGTGGTGGCTGGAGAAGTGAAATAATGGCTGTTCCATCAAGAATGTGAATGTATTGCTTTAACGAGTTGACAATTTGGTAAGTTGTTGAACTGTCCAAGCCCGTGGATATCTCATCCATGAACAATGCTTTTGCAGGTCCCACCAACATTTCACCTTCAAGTTCATTACTCAATCTCATTAAACATATAGTTTAATTGCTTTTGTAACTTTTTTTTTGGGAGCAACTAATTAATCAGGGGTTTGTACCAGTTGTGACTCGCTTTCTTTGTCCTCCGGAGATACCTCTGATCATGTCATTCCCTACCATTATATCTGCACAACTTTCCAGTCCTAAAATCTGCAGAAAGTTTTTCAAGAGATGGCATTAGAACACAAAAAATTCATAACATGGATTCTGAACTACATTTTTTGTCTTCTTGATGTGATGAATATTACTTACTTTCATAATGTAATCAGTTATCACATTCGTCTCTTGACCCTCGGTTGCTATTGCCTTAACAATAAGTACATAATCAAGCAATGCAAAGGCTATCCGTTATGTTTAATAATTTAACCAATAGTAAAGACAATTAATCTCATCCAAGTGCATGCGCATTCCCCATTACCTTCATGAACACATCAATATCTGGATCAGGTTTGATGTTTGATTCCTTTTCTCTTCTTGACAATTCAATTAGCTTATCTGCTCAAGATAAACGCATGGTGGACATGAGAGCTAATTATATAATAACCCAAAATTTCAAACAAAACATTTACATAGGAGACAAAGAAAGAGAAAACTCTAACCATAACGGTGCCCAACCCCTTGGCATCTTGCAGAGAAGGCCAATGTTTCCCTTACTGTCATCTCTCCAATATGGATATCGTTTTGACATATATATGCAGCTGTCCTTTGGGGAACAAATTCGCTCATCCCGTGACCATTGTAGGTGACCTTCCCCGTTATCTGCATCATAAGGCCCCGCATGTTACTTTTTCTCGTACTATCTCGTGCTATTGAAACGAAATGGAGGGGGCATATAAATGAAGTAAATGAGAGAAAGTAACATGTTAACACCCGACCTTGAGAGAATGATCAAGCTTTCCAGCCAATGCCTTTAACAAAGTGGTTTTTCCTGAACCTGGAGGACCCAAAAGAAGTGTAATCCTGTGGGAGCAACACAATCAGGATTAATGGTTGGGAGGGATTTTCTTACTACTTTTACAATTGAGAACAACTGGTAGATGAGTTCTTTTAGCTTACTTACTGTGATGGTCTGATGATTCCACTGACATCTTTGAGGATAGAAATTTTCTTTTTCCCATTGGGCAAGATATGGAGACAACTCAACAAGCTCTTCAAAATAGCAAGGATTTAGAGAAGACCCCTTTTTCTATAAGAATCGGATAGACTACCTCGATTTGATTGTTCTACTATTTTAACCATAGTTTAAGGAAGAAAATATTATTATATTACGTGAAGTTAAAGTCCATCAGTCCGATTAGTTTTAATTTTGTTTCATCTTCTTTGTTTCCTAGCCTTTTTGTCGGTTTTATGTGGTCCATCACCGATTGCTATCTTAATTACTATTTACTAACTTGAATTTGAAGAAACTTTTTGTATGATTTTTTGTTTTTGTTTTTGCAAGGTAGTTTGAAAGATTTGTTAGAACTTTTAGCAATAGATGTAATGGATTTGAAATTGTTTATGGTTAGAGAGAATTTCAATTATAATATAGTTCTTTTACTTTACAGCATATTAATAATTTTATTTATGCTTAACCAATGGTTCTAAAATGATTAACCACTGAACCAAAAACCAATAGCAATACTTGATTTTGGAAGGTAAGCCATGATGATTTCACATACTAGAATTAGTAAAAAAATTCTTTAACATGGGGAAATTGTCACCTCTGATATACTGAGAAAGAAGTTGAAGAAGGTGGTCAAAGCCCTGCTGCCTACATGAGCTTCTCCTTCAATGTTCAAACGCTCAAATCGCACTTCAGTAGTGGGAAGTTTGATTCCCACTCTACAACATGAAACAAAAGGTAGTTCTATTCAAAAAAAAAAAATGAAACAAAAGGTAATCAAATTTGAAAAAGTAGAATAAAATCACCCAATTATTAAACGGATTTTAAAGTTATAAATGTTGTACTCATTCATGGCCCATGTATTCATGTGTTGAGCATCGTCAACCACTCAAATAATCATCCAGATAAACTTAGCCAACTGGACTCTGTTTTCTTGGCCAAGAATAAAAAACAGAGAGCAGAGCAGAGGCAGAGCATCTGCTTGTCTGAATATATTACCTGTCCATGCGATCTCTGAGCTTCAAAAGGAAGTTCTCGTTATCCTCTTGTGGAACTTTCACCAGCCGGTCCACCAACTCCTTCCGCTGCTTGAATCCAAGCCGATCAACATCGATCTCGTCGGCGCCGCCGTCTGCGGTGGTGAGGAGGCCCTTTTTGAGCCGACTGTAGGTAGGGAGCTTCTCAAGTGCTGCCCACTTGAGAGCTTCCTCGTCATCTTCTTCCCTCGAGAAAGCTTCCTTTGAATTGTTGTTGTTGTCGTCGGTCCATATAGAAGAGGCTACTCGCTGTATGAAGCTGCCGGCTCTGTAAATATCATCAGTCTCCATTGATTATGATACAGAGCGAGAGAAGACCGTCAGTCTGAAAAGCCCAGTAACAAAGGACGACAAAAAAACCCTCCCTAGAAATTGTGACGGAGAGAAGAGAATCAAAGAGAGAACAGAAGATATGAGCGTGTGATGAAAATAAGTTGGGAGGGAGGGTGGGAACTGGGATGTGAATGTGATGGCGGGTACAGTACAGGTAAGCATGTGAGTCGGCTGCCTCAGGCGACATTCAAGTGGTGCGCTTTAGCTTTAAATACACCAACAACGACAACAACAAAAGTTGTTAAAATTGTTGGGTGGAGAAATGGATTTGCGGGTGTTCCATTTTAAGCGGTAGGGCTGTCGGGTCGGGTCGGTTCGGGTTTGGCTAACCGACCCGAAACCCACAAAAAAACAAAACCCGTCATCCTTTGAAAATCGAACCCGAACTCGATAAGAGATTTAGGTTTTGGTTACCTGAAACAGAAAAAATCACTTAACGATTTCGAGTTCGGTTAAGGCAAAATAGAAACCCCAAAACAAAAACACCATATGGGATATGAAGCATTTTTGTCTTTAGCTAAACTTGAAACCGAAACCGAAAAATAAAACCCGAAACCAAAAAAATCCGAACTCAAAACAAAACTGAAACCGAACACCCGACAACAAATCTTATCGGTTCGGGTTCGGTTAAAACCGAAAACCCGAACCCAAATGTACACCCCTATGTTAAGGTACCACTTTGCCAAATTCAGCTACATTTAGATACGTTGTATTCTCTCCAATCGGTGGCAGTGTGAGGTTTTTGAACTAAAGCAAAATTAATAATTAGGCAGGCAAGGAACCCAAACATTAGCAATTGTTGTATTTCCTTGATATGTTCCAATGTTTACATGTGTTTTAATTAATCGTTTGAAAGTTGAAGAGCGATGATTTTAGGATAACCACACATAGCTCCGCTACTGTCTATAATATTTAACAATGAAATATAGATTAAAGAAATATTTTTGTCGAAAAATTATCTTTTTATTACTTCATCATAATTCATAATCGACAAAGTCACGTTGGATACAATTTCAGGTTTGTCCATAGTTATGACTCATGAGTGGGTATATGATACAATCTCGATTTTGGTGTACGTCACACAATTAGTACTGCAATCACTCAACGTTATACAAATCAATCTTAATCTGTAGTTGTGTAAGTGTAATAACAATGAACAAGAAAACATGTGAACTTATACAAAATGTATTTACAATTTATTTTTATTTTATGTATTTCTGAAATTTATTTGGAAAACGTTAGAAATTCATCGTGCTAGTACAAACTTTCTGAGTAAAAATGAATGTAGTAGTTACAAGCTTTTCAATCGATACCGTGTAGTGAACGTAAGTGAAGTAGGTACACATTTGCAAGTTACTCTAACAAAGTCCTAATTTTATTAATATTTCAGAGATTTTAGGTGGATTTTACATACGTCATTTTACTTTAAATGCATAAATCAAATCCCAGGTTTATGGAATATAATGGATATATTTAGTCTGTAGGTGAAAAGTTCAAATTGTAATCCACTTCTCCAATTCAACTACTTTTAGAGTCTAGATCAGGTGAATGGTTATGTGCAATGCACTATATACTTGAATCAATCCATTATTGCTCCGCTCCACTTGTTTAATATTTGTGGATGTGATTCATCATTGGTCTTTGCTGAATGCTGACGACGCCATCACCCCACTAAAATGATGGCTGCTTCTTCCTTTTTTTTTTTCCACCTTAGACATATGGATGGGTTTGTCAACATATAATTTGTTAGACTCGTAAAGTAACTCCGGGAGGTAGGGATGACAAAAATTTGAAAGGTCTAATGAATATTATTGCAAAACAAATAATATATAATAAAATTATGAAATCATATAAAATATACTATCTCTTCTTATAGAATTTTATTTCCCTCTATTTTTTTTTTACAATTTTATTTCCTGATAATAGACAAGGTTACTAAATGATTCCTCATAAAATAGAAAGGATGTATATTTTAGGCGTAGAGGTACCTCAAATATCAGAAACCAACTACTGCAACAAATCAGTGGGAATCACACTTGACTCGATTTATCTTTTGAAAAGAATGGAGATAAAATCACTTTGGATTTTGGCAAAGTTTAAGTTAGGGGAAAAAACGTATATTTAAACCAAAGGGGTTAGGTGCTATTTTAAAAAAATGAAGGGGCGCGTATGGAGGCAACTCTTAGGAACATATATAAAGTATACTCATCAATCGATAGATGTCGATTCTTTGAACCTTCGATTTTACTCGTATACTAAGATAACATATGCTACACAACTAATTCTCATAGTTACATGTAATCTGACACATCGGCACCAACTCAACTAAAATAAAAACTAAAAAATCGGAGGTGATTATTCTTTCTTCTCCCCTTCCTATTCCACCACAACAATTCCTACAAATCTGCAGAAATAAATTCTCATCCAGAAAACGAAGAGGGGAATCAACCACAGATTGTCAAAGATAGGGGTTGAGGAAGTATCGCAACTAAGGAGAACATAAAAAGGAACAATGAACTGAACAAAGAAGGGCGGGGAAGAAAGTGAACTCAGCAACCAAAATGATGTGTAGCAGAGGGCGGCGATCAATCCGCGAAGAAGAGGAGCGCTTTAGAGGCGGCATGTCTTGTATCTGAGACGGATGGTGAAGATGGGGACACTAAATAATTTCATATTGATCGTTAAATAATTGCACACTTAGAATTTTGCTTGCTCAAAACCAACCATACTCATAATCGTACAGATCACTAGACTTTTACGATAACACGATCAAAAATAGTAGATAAAGTAACTTAATTTCACTCAAAACAATCTAGTTTATTGTGCTAATCTCATATGTGGTCCATAAAAGATGTTGTGTTGTTATAAACGTGCTGCTACGGATCGGGAAATCGCCGGAATCGACAAAGCAAGAATACGAAAGAAAGAATCGAAAATACGACACACGATTTACGTGGTTCACTAACACGATGTGTGTTAGCTACGTCCACGGGCGAGAGAGAGCCAGTTTCACTATATCAAGGAGATTACAGATGACAGAGGAGTATGAGAAGTATTTATAGTACTTCTCCATGTGGGTCTAAACCTAATCCAATCTGGCAAAGGAAATGGTTACAGACCAGGCCCAGAACCCGAACCCAAATAACATTGAGCCCATACACAGTGGGCCAGGGGCGTTGCCCCCCCCCCCCCCCCCCCCCCCCCCCCCCCCGCACCCCCACCGGGGCGTTGCCCAGTCGTAGCGAGACCCCCGATTACCAGTCGTAGCGGCTGATAATCCGATTCAAGTCATATCAACAAATCTCAACCTTGACTTGAATCCTCTTCCTCTGTATCTCTGATGTACTCTGCTCCTACTCTCTCTCCCGCCATCAATGCCCCGCAGGGCGCAGTCACCCACTCAAGACATTCAGCAAGTCCAAGCAGTGTTGGAACTTGCCATGTGGAACCGGCTTCGTGAACATATCAGCAGGATTATCCGCGGTGCCAACCTTCTTCACCTTAATCCTCTTCTCTGTCCTCAAGAAATGATACCTCACATCGATGTGCTTAGTCCTCTCATGGTGGACTTGATCCTTGGCCAAGCATATTGCACTCAAACTGTCGCAATACACCACTGCCTGATCATGATGTAGACCAAGATCACCAACCAGTCCCTTCAACCATATTCCCTCCTTAGCAGCTTCTGTCAACGCCATATACTCTGCCTCAGTAGTAGACAATGTCACCGCCGACTGCAAAGTTGCCTTCCAGCTCACTACAGAACTCCCAAGAGTGAATACATAACCGGTCATCGATCTCCTCGTGTCAAAATCTCCAGCATAGTCCGAGTCAGAATACCCAGACACCAAGCACTCTGTATCACTTCCGAAGCTAATCCCCACATCAGGTGTACCCTTAAGGTACCGAAAAATCCTCTTCACAGCCTGCCAATGCTCCTTCCCAGGTTGTATCATAAACCTGCTGACAACAGTAACAGCATGTGCAAGATCAGGTCTAGTGCATACCATAGCGTACATCAAGCTACCTACTGCACTAGCATATGGGACTCTCGACATGTACTCCTTCTCAGCCTCCGACTGTGGTGCATAAGCTGAGGATAGATGAACATTTGAAGCACTAGGAGTATTTAAGGGCTTTGAAGACATGCCAAACCTCGACAGTATCTTCTGGATGTAGCTCTTCTGTGACAAGAAAAGCTTCTTCTTCGACCTGTCCCTGTAAATCTCCATACCCAAGATCTTCTGAGCAGCTCCCAAATCCTTCATCTCAAACTCAGCACTGAGAAGCCCCTTTAACTTCTGGATATCAGACTTCGACCTCGCAGCTATGAGCATATCATCCACACACAGAACAAGATAGATCATCGAACCATCCTCCACCTTGTTGTGATACACACAACAATCATATGGACTTCTGCTATAGCCCAGCTCAAGCATGTAACTGTCAAATCTCTTGTACCACTGCCTCGGAGACTGCTTAAGTCCATACAAGGACTTCTTCAGCTTACAAACATAGTCTTCTTTTCCAGGAACCTCGAATCCTTCTGGCTGAGTCATGTAAATTTCTTCCTCCAACTCTCCATGTAGGAAAGCTGTCTTCACGTCTAGCTGCTTGAGCTCCAAGTCATAATGTGCCACTATTGCTAGTAGCACTCTGATCGAAGTATGTCTGACCACTAGTGAGAAAATCTCATTGTAGTCAACTCCTTCCCTCTGCGAGAAGCCTCGTGCAACCACCCGAGCTTTAAATTTCATGCCCTCTTTAGAAGTGATTCCTTCCTTCTTCTTGTAGATCCACTTGTTTGTAACAATCTTCCTTCCCTGTGGTCGTTTGACTAGCTCCCAAGTCTGATTCCTGTCATGGGATTCCATCTCATCTCCCATTGCGGCAAGCCACTGATCAGCTTCACCACCCGAAACTGCTTCTCTATAGGACTGTGGCTCTCCTGCATCCACTTCTTCAGCAACCTGAAATGAATACGCCACCATGTCCTCGAAGCCATACCTCTGTGGAGGTACTCCTGCAGTCGCTCTCTTCTGTCTACCGGAAGCAATAGACTGTTGAGCTCGTGCACTGGACTCTAAAGTTTCTGGCTCTGCAGAGACATCCTCATCATGTTGATCTTCTCCACCTTGGTGCTCAAACTCATTCTCATTGAGAGTT